TAGACTTGCATCCCGCCTATCAGACGCTACGTAAAGTCTCGGATCAGGCGAGCAGGTGGAACCGAGAAGCGCCGCATGCCTTAACTTGCTACATGAGCGGCTTGATATGTATTATCACTTTAATTCCTAGACTGGTGTATTGTGTGAAACGCTTGCAAGACTCCGCGAATGGACTGCTGCTGACCTCCGAACAACGAAGACTGTTCATAGGAACGCCTGAACGACACAAAGGTCATGCTGCGTTTAGAAACATATAAGATAGTGGGCAGACTATATGCGCTGTAATCTACTTTACCAGCGTAGTCGTCCGCGTAGTTCTAGTGCATGACTTTGATCAATAAATTTTTCGAAAATCACTATCTAACCCTGGCACGGGTTAGTTGAAAAGGCAGTCCTAGCCTATATACGACGAATACTTAAGAACCTCATCAGTTCATTGAAGGAGTCAAAACGGCAGGCAGAGTATAAGCCAACTGTGGCGTAGGTGTGGAACCGCAGGAGAACAAGCTATCACCTTGAATGAGCGCTCATTGTTTTTGGCGTTTAAGAGTGGAACGCCAATTAGATAAGGATCAGTTAGAGTCTAGCCAAAACCGTAACTCGTTAACCGAACTGGTTTATAAACCGGCCTAACTAGGGTTGGGGCCGTCTGCAATCCTTAAGCCTAACACTAAAACAGCCTTAATATTATTCCTGTCCTTCACCTTAAAACCTTTATCTGATCCCAACCGTAACATTGGTACTTAGACCGAACCTTAACCCTAGCCATAGCATTAACCACTAATATTGGGATCAGACTAGCATTAACGTTAGCTTCGTAAATAGACTAAGTGTGAAGCTTAGAGAATGGTTTAGTTTTAGCATTAATATTACTATCTGAGTTATGTTCCCTTTACCATATAATGCTTTTAAAAGTATGTAACCTTGCAAACCATAGCAAAACACGCCTTAATAAAATAAGTGAAGATTTCTTAAGTATAAAGACTACGTAGGTCACATACGATACCCCTATCAAGAGTTGGCTTCGGCCGATACCAATGAGTTAAAATTTGTAGGTTTCATGGTTTCCATCCCTCACGCAGCATCAATAAATGTATTGAATCTAGCTCGCTAGGTGCAAGGGAAATTTGCATCGATGCTAGACCAGAGGGGACGTTGCTTGGGTTGAGTGTTTTTATCGGCTGAAATGACATTTTCAGCGTTTTGCGTCGCTGCTCTTAGCTTCTTTGGCCCGAATTGACAAAGGAGCCGTCTTCAGGTAATTTCGAACGGAGTTCGAGAAACGAAATTAACTGAATTCCACTGTAGCCGCTCGATAAGCATGATAGTCGTCTTTTGCGCTTTCAATCGACCAGGTCATCCTTTGCGCATGCCCAACAGCTGGTGAGAATGCGCTATTCTGATGGTCGGAGGTCTGGCGAACTCATTATGCCTACGATGCTCTCACATGACCTCTTATTATTTATCCTCACTACCTCGCTTCCCAGATTCATCCTTATACGTAGCTTTTCCTTTAAAACCTCTGTCCACACAAGTTCTTTGAGTTTAAGCTCTAGCCACCGATAACGGCTAAATCAACCCTTTAATCTACCCAAACAAAGTCATAAATTTAAAACTCCCGCCATATTGCCTTTTTCCTTACCAGCATATGTTAATAGGCCAAGCTGCTCTGCGTCTCATTTTTGGCAGTGCTTGGTACACACATTGAGGGATTCACACCGCGACCTTCCATTTTGTGATTATTTTAAGAATTACGTTTATAACTATGTTTGTGATTATTTCTAGCAATTAAATACATGCGTATATGTGCGTGAAGAGTCAATGTCTCGATATGCTATCGTCTTCATTATCCCGCGGGTAAGAAGAAAGAAAAAATACGATTTTATGGGGCGAAATTGTTGGAACTGACGTTTCGGAAACTGTCTCATTCCCATCATCAGATTAGTATAGTAGTCGTTCTTGCCGGTCTTGGTTTATTCAACCCTGCCGCCTGCGTTGTGTTATAACCACGTTGTACCCACGAACTTTGACCTGTCCGTCCGCTGCCGGTTGCCTTTGACCTCTCCGAGATCGACCGCTAGTAAGCTCGTGGGACCTTCGCCACCCTTGCGGCCGTCGCCGTTGTAGCCAAGCCAGCGTGCTTCCTGGCATGTCCCTCGTAGCCAGCGGACTGACCGGTCGCTGAGGCTCGTATGAGTTGATTTCATCCTCGGAGGCGCCTCGGTGCTGGCCACGTGACCTCCAGTCGGCCTCTCTCCTCTGTCGGCCACTTGTAACTTTGTTCGACTGTCCCATTGAAGTTGTCCGAACCCACCTGATTCTTGTGCGTAGCGCCTGCTAGGGGGGATGCGGGTCTGCGGCCCGATTAAATATGTCGGTCGAGGACAAATTTTCTAGCATCGGTCTGGCCAACTTATCACTGGCTCGGCAGATCACCCTCGCCTTCTTAAAGACGTGGTCACGGACCACAGACAGTTAATACTTGTGGCTGACTGCGGCAAAATGGCCACTCAAGTCTCCCTTGTCTTTATCTTTAGTGCAATTTTGCCTGCATCACGCGTCGTTGTTGGCGAGACTCAAGAGAAAGTTCTAAGGCACAGCGGCGCGAATGAATTCCATAACATGATCGGTGTCCGCCTCCCTCCCAATGGATCATTGTGCGCCCATCTCCGAGTAAATAAATACCCAATTTGCAGCGACAGAACAGGGTAGGTGGCGAGTCACCGATGGACTTCGGTTCGGTCTGGCGACAGAGTCTGTGGGGTAGATTGATACAGCACTGTTTCGGCCTTGTTTGCCTCCACTCAGCGTCTGTCGTCTCCCCTCTGCTATCAAAGCTTGGCCGACTTCGGCCTGGTTGGTGGTTGCCTATTCGCGACCCCTATAACCTATGCGAAGCTTGTTTGCTTCGTGAAGCCAATAGATCGGTGTGCACCCATTCCTGATTGATAAATACCCGATCTGCAGCGACAGAGAATGACAGATGGCGAGGCACTGATGAACTTCGGTTCGATGAAGTGCTTATGACCCATCTGGTAGACCCCAGTGGTGGACCAGCTGCGCCAGGTGCGTCTGAGCGCATGTTTGTGTTTCCGGTACCAGCTGGTGGTCAGGGTTATGATTGGCTGAATGAAGGCAAACAAGCCCGAAACAGTGCTGTATCAATCTACCCCCAGACTCTGTCGTCTCCCCTCTGCTATCATAGCTTGGCCGACTTCGGCCTGGTAGGTGGTTGCCTGTTCGTGACCTTTGCCACCCATACGAGCTTGTTTGCCTCGGGATCGGTGTGCGCTCATTCCCGATTTAATATATTTTGGGTCTGTCCCTAAAATTTCATGTCCGGGAGACTTAACTCCATGTCCTGCAGTGAAAATCTTCTGAAATTATTCACTTGCTTATTCTCTGGAGTTCATATACCAGAAACCGCATAGAGGACGCTGGGGGACCCACGGAGGATCCGAAGCCCTCGCAGCTGTGTCACGCAGCGACAGAATGTCGACGCTCACCGATCGTGTTATGGAATTCATTCGTCTGGTTGTACCTTAGTTCTCCCTCTTGAGCCCAACCATCAGCCACACTGCGGCGCCCCTCTACCACTGTATGTTCTCGATCGCAACCGAAAGGACAACGAGCCCGTGACTCAGTAGTTACGGATGTAGGACTTCTAACCAATTGGTCGTGAGACCGAGTCTACTTTTTGGTCATCACTATGTCATAGGCCTTATACAGACACGCCATATAGGCGCGTCACCCCAACTCTTGTGGTTAGGGTCTTTCCCGATCCCATTCTGTTCGCGAGCATGCTGCTAACGACAACGAATGTTGTATGATCGGTAACGACCGCGAATCAGCTGTCTTCGTCTGGCCTGTTGCGCTCTTGAGGAGCTGTCTACGTATCATATGTGGCGTGTGTCCTATTGCATAGCGTTTGTTGTCGCTGGTATGCAAGCTGGCGGGCGGACAGAACGCGATCGAGTAAGATCCTAACCATAACGGTGTGACGCGCTTACTTACTCCGATCGCGATGGACTGACTGGCGCCCACCTTAAGAACAACAACAGTTAATGCGTGCCCGGACATGCATGATCTCGCCGACACGCCATACCTCCCTCCCTGCCCTCCTCCCTCCCCAACACAGTGAACCACAGCTGGGACCCACAACACCTATCCTCACCGCCGACACCCATCACAACACGATGCACACCTTCCCCTCGCAAGGTTGTCTGCTTACCTCTCTGTCTGCGTCCTCAACCAGCAGTGTGACAATGCCACCTGTCATTATTCACTTTGTCTGACGACGGGTTGGTACAACCAGCTGGAAAGTTTACGAGTAAAACTTTTTCTGACGGACTTCCTCCTTTCATCATATCATCTCGGGATGAATACTACCTCAGTTATTCATCATATATATATATAATGGTAGGGGGCGCTCACCGATCGTTCATACGGAACTCACTCGTTCCGTTGTGCCTTAAGGGCTCTCTCTCGAGCCCAACCAGCAGCCGCACAGCGGCGCGTGATATATAAGCAGAATGATATTACGGACAAAGACAAGGGAAACTGGAATGGCCATTTCTGGCTTATTAGCCGTCGTCAGCCAGCCATACCCAAGCCCGAAGTGTGGAACACCCGAGCCTCGAACTCGCGACCTGTTGGTTTAGAAGTCAACGCCTCTACTCACCGGGCCACGGGCCCGTTGCCCTGTCGGTTTTCGATCGGGAATATACAATGGTAGGGGGCGCCTACTTCGGGGTTGGGTAGGACTGTCTGACGACGGCTAATAAGCCAGAAATGGCCATTACATAAATATATTGTTTGTTTGATTTCCCTTCGTCTTTTTTCCTTGCTTACGCTCCTCTAAAATGATGACTGTCGTGTATTATCGTCTTCGCTCTAGCTACGGCCGTTTCCGCTGCAGAACGTACTGAGATTCTTCTGCAGCACCTATATGACCGAATTCTCTACATGCTTCTTCGATTCCGTCCATCCACAGCTCTTTTATGCGTGAAATGCCGCAGTACCTTGTTCCACTAGCGGTCTCTTTCTGGTGAGTGCATGCATTTTGATTGGTGCCCTCGTTTCTGGACAGTGAACGATCACTGCAAATGTTAGTAATTTTGACGCCCTGGTCCAGGAGTGGGGTTTTGGAAGACACTGAAGGTGGAAAGCATCTTACTTAAACCGAAGAGTCTGATATGCCATATCGAACGCTCTACTCACAATACGGCATAGTAGAACCAGGGGTACCGCGTGGGTTGGTGGCGTAGCTGGGTCTGCTAGTTGCTAGGGTCTTCAAAGACTGCTTTGTTAGTTGTGGCGGTTACCTAGAGAGTTAAAGATAACGTTCAGTTGTTGATTACTATTCAGTGACCAAAAGCGCGCTTTTGTGTAAGCAGTGAGTAGTCACTGGGCTGCTAATCAGAATTACTGAGCATTTGCCACTGTTTCCAGTTGGTCAGCGTCTTTTAAAGTTTGGAAGTCGCCTCATAGACGTCTCAGTTCTCGTGTGAAATGCGATGGTGAACCCATTTCAATAATACTTACCCACTGGCTCCCGCTATAATTTCGCACTTGCAATCGGTGCCATCTCCTAGGTGATCTGTTTTCTCCTGCCAACACAAAATTTCTCTCTCAACTGCCTTCCGTGATTCATATTCCCTCTTCTCTGATAAGGCCGTCCACTTTAACACATGAAATCCCTTTTCCATATATACCAGCAGCGAAAGTCGCTCATGTGAAACTTCCTTTATTTCCACAACTAGGTGGACATAAAAATGCAGAAGAGCTTTATGTTAGCCATCACTTTTTAACTAAGTTAAACCGTTCCTTATTCAAATTGAATTGGCCGCACTTGGCCTTACATTACACCTTAAATAGACATTTTTTTGGAATCTACCAACAGGATATGTACGCATTGCTCAGGTCCGCCCTTTTTTTGCTCTCCAGTCCGAACGCTGTTAAAAATAGGGCTGTTAGCCCCTCAGGAAATGTCTTGCTGGATTCGAATCCTCCGTCCATTTCTATTTCCAAAGGAGCGAAACTTGTACAGTGCGTGGCCGATCTCATTAAATGTTGGCCGAAATTCTGAACTGCGTTTTCGACCAGGAAGCATTACTTAGGTGGGGTTGTAAAAGCGATTATCATGCGGCATAATCCTATAATATTTCGGTTTTGCAAGGATGTCGGTTTTTGAATGCACTTCTTTCTGACCTTCCGCAGAAACCTTACTCGTTAAAAAAATGACTACTTAAGTGGAATGCATTTTTCACATTGATTTTCGATAGTTTTGCGAATTCAAATATATTTTATAGGAAACACGCACACAAATATGCTTTATTTTACTCGTTTGGTAGAACCCACACTGTCTTTGTATTTTATACCCTAAGGAAGGCTATCTTTTTGGTTTTTAAAAAAATGTTTTTAATTATGAGGTCTTTAAGACCGTGCGATGACCGTATATACGGCATCGCACGCATAGAGGAATACATGATTTTCCTTACGCGGAACGTATGCGGCTTGTAGACCGAAGTCGCTAAACGCTAGTGCAACGACTGATCAGACTCAAAATTATTCGGGAATTTGGAAACTTTTACAAAACCTAAATCTGCACTTTTTCGGGTTCAAAATATAACGACAGTAAAATAAAGCATATTTTTTTGTGAATGTGTTCTATAAAATTTATTTGAACTTGCAAGACCACCGAAAATTAATGTGCAAAATGCACGGTACTTAAGTAGTCATTTTTTATCGCGAACAGTTTCTGGGAACGGTCAGAAAGAAGTGTATTCAAAAGCAAACGTCCTGGCGAGTCCGAAATACTATGCTGCATAAAAATTAATATTACAACGCCACCGTATGAATCCTTCCTAGTCGTAAGTGCATTTCTGAATTTCGGCCAACATTTCATGAGATCGGTCATGCACTGTATAGTGGCCGCTCCACAGCCCACATAAGGAGCACTGTTTGGTGCACTATAGTGTCCCGCATGCGATCGCTGAGCTCTTAATCTCGACCGTGTGCATATTCGGATACATTCTGGAATTGTAGCTTCGCCGACAGTGTTCTGGCAGTGTGTACGGCCTTTTCAGCTGGAGAATCGCTTGGCCCGTTCAGTACAGACCATGAATAGGGTCGGCGCCGAAATTCGGTTAAAAGTTTTAGGTATGCCCTCATGGAACACTGATTGTTGTGAGGTTTTAAGGCTCTTCATCGACGATCTCGGTCAGTCATGATGGCCTCACTCGAAGGAATGGCTGCTTAGGTAACGCGAAAACCTTGCGCTGACACCCGGAAACGCGGTACTACTTGGTCAAAAAATTATCACCCCCGTACTGTTATTGATTTCAGTAGGCGGTCATTGACTTGTCACTTTTGTACTATTATTGATTTCAGTAGGTGTTGTACTGCTAGCGGATACGTTCAATTTAAAAGTTTGGATCTGTTGGCATTCCATTCTAAAGGGCCCGTATTTGTAAACGCGCAGCTTGTGTTTTTACATGCTCGTAACTCGAAATACTAGACTGCCTGAATAGACTACCGGGCCTGATAAGCAGTATAAGTCAACGCTGCAGACTTTTTTGAGATTTAAAATGCCCACTTTTGCTGACCGAGGTACTTTGATTATTAAAATAAGCGCGATTTTCTGTACGGTTGCGTTTGGAAATAGGGGTTTTGTTAGTTTCTCCTGCGAAGGTTACTTGTCTTTGTGCTGCCGTCCGAAGTTGAATTAGAACTATTTGCAACTTAATTGATGATTTGCATGAGTAGTATTGTCTTGGGCCATCGGACAGGTTGTCGCTGCGAAGTCCGCAACCCTCCGATTGAGGCCGAGAACCCGCAGAAACATTAGCCGAAGTCTTGCTGTCTGTATTCATGCGGGAAATATTACTTAAATAAGTTGATTTTGCCAAACGCGTTAACAGCGAGCGTAATCCTACGTTGATTCTTACACGATGGCAGTCTGGCCCCTTAGTGGCCATTCGCCAATGAACTCGCGCAGATCGCACACCAGAAAGAGTCACCACTTAAGTGGGCTGTATTTTTCCGTCTACCGTATACATATAATCGCATCGCCCAAAAAGAATGCACAAAAGCTCCATTTCTTGATTACATCTTGTTCTAATTCGATATTTTAAGGGAATATGTGATGAGGTGTTAAAAGCGCTCGCTGGCGCCTGCATGGTTTCAACCAACCCATACTTTCATTCGTTTCAAAGGGTCCCAATCCAGATGCCATTCGTTTTTAACCAAAGTATATTTACAGGCTGTAGATGAGCTAACTCATGAAGTGTTAACTGAAATTCTGAAATGCGTTTCTGACTCGAAGACATTACCATACATCATAATCTTAAAGTATTTCAGCTGCTTCGGGATGACGGTTTTTGTACGAACTTCGTTCCAACCGCCTGCTCGAACTATATTTCGTAGAAAATGACTACTAAAGTAGTATGCATTTTTCTCATTGATTTTCAACGCCCTTTTGAATCCAAATAGGAAACATAGAAAACATGTTTGAGAATATTCATTCTTTTAATTCCCTGGAAGGAAAATACGTCTTCTTCAAATTTTATGCTTGAAGGAAGTGCATAATTTGGTTTTAATAGACATTCTAAATTCCCGAATGATTTTGAGCCCGACCATCCGTTGCACTTGCATCCAGGGTTTCCAAACTGCAGGCTGTGTATGTTCCATGCACAGAAAATCATAGATTTCTGCACGCTGCTAAAAGGAAACCATACAGGGTTCATAAAGTTTAGCAGTGGGTTCCAGCCATATTGTAAACTTTACTAGCAACACTGGTAATTTCAGAGAGGATGTTTCATAAACAGGTATTTCACGGTCTTAAAAATCTCGTAATTAGAAACTTTTAAAAGCAAACTATACTCTTCTTTCAAGAATAAAATTTGAAGAAGACGTGATTTTCTTCTAAAGAATTAAAAGATGAATATTCTCATGCGTGTTTTCTATGAGATATATTTGGGCTTATGAGGGCGTCGAAAATCAATAAGAAAAGTGCATGCTACTTTAGCAGTAATTTTTCACGGAGTATAGTTTTAGCAGGCGGCCGAAAAATGTTCGTACAAAAGCCCGCATCTCAAAGTAACTGAAATGTCTTGGGCATTATGCCGCACGTTAATTATTATTATAACCCTACCTAAGTGGTCTTTTCTAGTCAAAAATGCATTACAGAATTTCGGTTAACATTTCATTAATTTTAAAATCTACTGCATCTCCGTAAAGATGCCTTCTAGTGCGTATGAAATGTAACAGCAAATAGGACAATGACCTTCTGATTTTCATAAGCACATTCCTTCCAAAATCCACCCTTACTGTCAAGTGTAAGTCAGGGAAGACGATATTCTGTATAAAACGGGTGTAATGATATATACTAATGCAATCTTTTGTGCCTTCTGAGTATTTCAATAGTAACCGATCCTAAATGGTTGCAAAAGGCAAGTGGACATGCTTACGGTGAAAAACTTTCGAGCCATCGTAGTTTGATGTGTCCTGAGCCCAGAAGAACCTCGCATGAGACCGCCTTTCCGGCAAGATTGCCAGAAGTAGGCAGGGCTTTCTAACTCCGTCTGTGGCGTCTCTGCGATTTGGGTTCTCTCAGTGATTTTTGGCGGGGAAACCGAGAGCTTGTTTAAATGATCCTCCGTGGGACGTCCAGAAGTTGGGGTAGTTTGTAATTTTCCAACATATATAAAGTTGCAAGTTTTGTCTTCATGAATGAATGCTGTAGTTAATTCGACGCACTTTCGTACACTGATCACAGATCTGATTTGTACTTCCAGTACAACGGTTGTTCAGATCGAAAGCCATATTAGAGGATATGCCGAAGAGTTCGCGCAGCTGGTAATAGCCTCGACGACAGTTCGGTAGGTAAAGCTCACCACATCCCAGCGAGGGTTCTGCATTTGTGGAAATATCTGAATTCCTTCCGTCGGTAAATAAATCAACCGTAGTTTCAGATTATGTTTAACTGGGATGCAGAACGCTTAGACACCTGGAAAGTCCAATGGAACACAACGAAGTTCTAACACCGAATGCTTCGCCTGCAGGTTATCCAATAACTTATAGACTCTCCGGCTCAGTAACCAAAGATCCCAGACGTTCCAAATCTGGGGTCGCATATGACTGGCTGATGAAGACTGCTAGGTTAGAAACGGCCACTTCGCGCTCTCCCTTGTCTTAGGCGATAGCCTCATCCTTTGTCGAGCACGTCCCAAATGCGTCGCATGCAGATGGCTTCCAGTTTAGTTTAATATACCCGCTGATTTTCCGATATGCTGCCAGGAATTATTTGTAAAGCAGAACTCCATTTAAAAGAAGACGAAGGCACGATCACTGGGACGGTAGATTTATTGGCCTTGGCTTTCGAACTCGGACTTGAGCTCATCACCGGAGACTGCTAGAGTGCAGCAACGTGTGAAAATTTATAGTGTTCCGTGCGGGGGGGACTACGTCCGTGGCTATGTCTGGACTGGAGTCAAAAACCAGTTTAACAGCGAAGAATTTAGGTCCTTCTAAAGGAAGACTCCCAGGAGCTAGTTTTGACCAAGGTTGGGATAGGAAGTCTCCCTCTCCCAGCTACTGGACTGACAAATCCGTTAAATTTTCTTGTGCTTTCATAACCGCTGGGCATCTTGTGCTATGTTCAGATCCGCCAGCAAAACCATGTCTAACTGCCCGCTCCTGAACTAGTAAATCAGAAAACTGATCATGTTTTGTCTGTTTTTTTCTCCTATTTCTTCGTTCCAGTCTCCTCGGATTTTTTGTCGTTTACTTTGCGGTCCAGATCTCGCTGAACTACCGACGCGGCAAGAGGACGCTGCCGCGTACCTGGTTTCGGTGTGGCTGTGTTAATTCCATTCGAGTAAGCACTCAGTTTCAGCCCCATATTTCTAAATCCACCTGATTTGAGTTGTTTTGCAAACCGTTAAAATGGCCCATCCTTCGCAAACGACAAGGAACGTCATCTTCCCAGGGACGCGTCTGTTACTTGCGCGTTAATTGGCTTGTGGTGGAGAGGACTTTCAAGCGTCTAACTCACTCGCTTCTCGCACACACCGTTTCACGTTTTACATCGATGAGAATTACTATAAAAATCACATTAAAAAGAAACCATTACAGCATGCCCCTCCGAAAGATACGATCGTTGCAACAAGGGGTTTATTAGCCTAACTCTTCGGATTCTCAGACGAACCCGTCATAAGAGACAGTCGCAGGTAAGGGTGTTGAAGGTACAACGAGTGCAGTATTTGTAGACAACAGTGGCCACGCCACCACGTGCTTATTATAATTAGCAACTCTCGCATTGATCGCTGGGGGTCGTATTTCGTGCGATTATGGCTTGTTAGTCCACACCCGAGTTGTTAATTGCCGAAAACTATTCACCCTTGCGTATTCTTGGCTTTATAGTTACGGGTCATTTTCGTGAACAGATGTACGTTTGTTGGTTGATGACACAATTAGGGAGGTGAATTCGGAGGGAAGGGGGGGGGGGGGTAAAAATGAAGCAACATTGGTCGAAGCCAAGTTTTAAATTCATATAAAAGAATTACCGTAACGAAAGTCTCCCCACTACCAGCGATGTGGTTTCCGCAGTTGCCGTACGCCGACTTTAGTGGTTTCGCGCGTTTTTTAGTGGTTGATCTCATCCTTTCCTTTCCCGTCCGACCCAGGCTGGCGGAAGCTGGGCACCAGTCCAAGAGCTTCATCATCCACCGTTACTCGGCAGATATTTTTGACGGCAAAATCTGGATCGGTCATCCGTCTTTAGGGAGATTTCCTTTTTAAGTCCACTTCAGCTGCCCTCGCACCTATCTGCGAAGCGGAAAATTGCGTTTCTGCGGGGATGGGGTTCACCTCCAACACCATAACATCATCAATGCGATCAACATATGCTGCGCAAGGACCACAACCTACTGCAATGCCGCGGCGCTCTGCCAGTGCGTGTTAAAGGACTTTGTCTGTTATGTGCTCGAACAAATTTTATGAGAGAACGCAGTCCAGACTGGTTTCGAATTTTGAACACTCTTCAATGCCAGCAGGCTTGAGTAAAGCGCGACTACAGTGGTCTCCGACTGTGCGCAACTCGAATGCCGTGCTTTATTTCCTCCCGTCCATTGTTTTGGACGCAACAGGACTGATCCATGGTGATCAGTTCGCCAGAACTTCTCGCCGCTCATTGTAAAAAGGGACGCCTTCTACCATCTCAAGTCGTTAAACTGTTTTACGGATGCAGTGACAATTTGATCGAAGTCAGACTGCGTTTTCTCTGAGCACCTTGGGGGCGACTGAATGTCCCCGGCATAGTCAAGGTCCGGAACGAAGAATTTATACTCTGACCACACGCCTTCCAGTTTACGTATTGCTGCCTGCTTACATTTCTAATGGGCTTTGTCTCTCAGGCACTGAAAGTCTCGTGTGGAGTTGATTGTCTCTACTGGTTATGACAATCAACCTCTTTGGTCTTTGCACAGGACGTTTCGACTGGTTTTCGGCCTCTTGAAGTTTGTTTAGCAGGTTTTAGTGTTAAGGCGGATACCAGATTTTACCAGCTTACAGGCGGTAATCGGTGTCATGAAAAGTTAACCGGAATCCTGAAATTTTGAATGCTCAGTAAAAAAATAACTATTTAAGCAGTATGTATTTTTCTATTGACTTCAGGTGCCCTTATAAATTACGAGGTATTTTATAGAAAGCATGCATAAAATATTCACTTTTATGCTAATTTAGTATTCAAATTCTACGCATGGAGGGTATTTGTCAGTTCAGCTCAGTGTATTTAAGGAAAGCAGGTTTATGCCTTTGAACTCTTTTTCTTGCATGCAAATGCGGAAAATTACGCACGAGGTGAGGGAATTACAGTGTCAAGTGGAAGCTCTTGAATCTACCGTAGATTGGAAGACTGACAACCTACTTCGGTCTTCTCCCCAAGACGGAGAGTCATGCTGCCATGGCTCCGCGATGTGACTGTTACGGCACTCCCACTCAGTTGAGTGTCCAGTCGTCTCTCCTTCTTTTTATTGTTTGAAATCTTGGTCCTTTGTTCGTCTACTATCACTATAAACTAATCCACGCGCAAGTTACCGTGTCTGCTGCACCATGCTGTGTATCACACGGTGGACATCGTCGGAATCGACGGTCAAACTGTCACATGTGTGGTTTCACGCCGTGCCGACCACCTGCGGCCTTTACGGCGCTCCCACTCAGTTGAGATCCAAGCCGCCGCCGCCTCCTTTCTTTCTTGTTGTTTGAAACTCTGGTCCTTTGTATGGGAACCGGAGCCGTGATGGTACGCCTATGTGCAGGTTCACGCCGTGCCAGCCACCTGCGCCCGATTTCCCCCCCCCCCGGTCTTTCCAACTCTGTCTTGGCACCGGACTCTGGTGGGAGATGGGGCGACAGATGCACCCGACGTCACCATCACCTCGCCCATCCTGTCGTTGGGCACTGGATGCACATCGTCGGAAACGGCAGTCGAACTGTCATCTGCCACAACGAGCTCACATTCCTTTTCTATCCACACAAGGAATGCTAACACATTGGTCAGGTGTTCTGTGCGCGCCAATATAAGCTCATCTCCCCTTCCATTTCAGAACTGCTGCGACCGTATGTGCAGGCGCGGCAACTACCGCAACGCCCACCAACTTCTAAATGACGACGACGGCGGTGGCGAGGTACACTTCATCCCACTGTCCCAGGGCCAGCAAGAGGCGCTAATTGAGTGCGAAACTGCCCGCACCACGTCGCCAGAATCACCATCAGTGCGGCCGCAGCCGCCTGAGGAGGAAGCGGACGAAGCTCTCTTGCAGTTTTAATACCCCCCCCCCCCCAACTGTCCTCTAACACCTTTCTCGCTTCTGCGCCGGGGCCGTCTCGAGGCCACCTTTTGTGCTCAACTGCCTAAAAGCCCGCTTTTAGCATCAACCTCTTGCCCCATTCCCTAATGGTTCTTTTTCACTGCTTCGACAGTCTGAAGGCTTAGCTCTACCGTCATAACTCAAACCTGCGGCGCGCTTCGGCATGCTTGCCTGAGTAATTATCTGTCGGTCTCAAACGGACAACGGCGGCAGGCGTGTAGTCTCCACGCAGGCGACAAAAAGCCCTGGCGTAGAAGGTCTGCCTTGCACTGGCAATAACCGTTTGTACACCAACTGAAACCGCCGCACTTGTGACTATCGGGGCTTGGCCAAGCTTGTCTGTAACCTCATTGGTCGATCTGCTACGCGAGCACATGCCAATTGAGTTTTATGCAGCGCGTCAGAGCGAGGGTGCGCTGGGCGGCCTGATGGCCGTGCGCACAGGGCGTCTGTGAGCCTTCTGGAACGCAGTTCTTTGCTGGCCTACACGCGCGACTGTTCTGGGAAGTTCACCTGCGAATCACGTGTAAACCGGTCTAATCCTGGCCCATTTTGTGTTCCCTTCACTTAGTTAAATCTAAAGTAGGGACACAGTTCCCTTTTTTGTTTTTCTCCTAGGGTGATATCTCCCGAAATCTTTCAA